CAGAGAAGAATAAATGAAATAGAGACAAAGAAAACAATAGTAAAGATCACTAAGACTGAAAGTTGGTTCTTTGAGAAGATAAAAAATAAAATGATAAACCTTTAGCCAAACTCATCAAGAAAAAAAGGAAGAGGACTCACATCAATAAAATTAGAAATGAAAAGGAGAAATTACAATGGGCACAGCAGAAATACAAAAGATCATAAGAGACTACTAAAAGCAACTATATCCCAATAAAATGCACAACATGGAAGAAATGGACAAATTCTTGGAAAGGTACAACTTTCCAAGCCTGAACAAGGAAGAATGACAAAATATAAACAGGCCAATCACAAGTAATGAAATTGAAACTGTAATTAAAAATCTTCCAACAAACAAGAGTCCAGGATCAGATGGCTTCACAGGCAAATTTTACCAAACATTTAGAGAAGAGCTAACACCTTTCCTTCTCAAACTCTTCCAAACTATTGCAGAGGGAGGCGCACTTCTAAATTCCACAAGGCCACCATCACCCTGATACCAAAACCAGACAAAGATATCACAAAAAAAAGAAAATTACAGATCAATATCACTGATGAACATAGACACAAAAATCCTGAACAAAATACTAGCAAACAGAATCCAACAACACATTAAAATGATTATACACCATGATCAAGTGGGATTTATCTCAGGAATGCAAGGATTATTCAATATATGCAAATCAAACAATATGATACACCATATTAACAAATTAAAGAATGAAAACCATATGATCATGTCAATAGATGCAGAAAAAGCTTTTGACAAAATTCAACACCCATTTATGATAAAAACTCTCCAGAAACTGGGCATAGAGGGAACATACCTCAACATAGTAAAGGCCATATATGACAAACCCACAGCAAACATCATTCTCAATGCTGAAAAACTGAAATCTCTTCCTCTAAGATCAGGAAAAAGACAAGGATGTCCACTCTCGCCACTCTTATTCAACATAGTTTTGGAAGTCCTGTCCATGCAAATCAGAGAAGAAAAAGAAATAAAAGGAATACAAAATGGAAAAGAAGTAAAACTGTCACTGTTTGCAGGTGACATGATACTATACATAGAAAATTCTAAAGATGCCACAAGAAAACAATGAGAACTAATCAATGAATTTGGTAAAGTTGCAGGATATGAAATTAATATGCAGAAATCTCTCACATTCCTATACACTAACAACAAAAGATCAGAAGGAGAAATTAAGGAAACAATCCCATTTACTATTGCAACAAAAAGAAAAAAACAGCTAGGAATAAACCTACCTAAGGGGGCAAAAGATCTGTATGCAGAAAAGTATAAAACACTGGTGCAAGAAATCAAAGATGACACAAACAGATGGAGAAATATGCCATGTTCTTTGATTGGAAGAATCAATAATGTGAAAATGACTATACCACCCAAAGCAATATACAGATTCACTGCAATACCTATCAAATTACGAATGGCATTCTTCACAGAATTAGAACAAAAAATTTTACAGCTTGTATGGAAACACAAAAGACCTCGAATAGCCAAAGCAATCTTGAGAAAGAAAAATGCATCTGGAGGAATCAGACTTCATCACTTCAGACTATACTACAAACCTACAGCAATCAAGATAGTATGATACTGGCACAAAAACAGAAACACAGATTAATGGAACAGGATAGAAAGCCCAGAGATAAACCCATACACATGTGGTCACCTTATCTTTGACAAAGGAAGCAAGAATATACAATGGAGAAAAGACAGCCTCTTCAATAAGTGGTGCTGGGAAAACTGGACAGCTACATGTGAAAGAATGAAATTAGAACATTACTTAACACCATACACAAGAAACTCATAATGGATTAAAGAGCTAAATGTAGGACTGGACACTATAAAATGCTTAGAGGAAAACACAGGGAAAACATTCCCTGAGATAAACCACAGCAAGATCTTTTATGACCCATTTCCTATAGTAATGAAAGTAAAAACAAAAATAAACAAATGAGCCCTAATGAAAATTAAAAACTTTTGCACAGCAAAGGACACTATAAACAAGACAAAAAGACAACTCTCAGAATGGGAAAAAAATATTTGCAAACGAAGCAATGGACAAAGGATTAATCTCCAAAATATACAAAGAGCTCATGCAGCTCAATATCAAAAAAACAAACAACACAATCCAAAACTGGGCAGAAGACCTAAACAGACATTTCTCCAAAGAAGACATACAGATGGCCAAGAGGCACATGAAAAGATACTCAACATCACTAATATTCAGAGAAATGCAAATCAAAACTACAATGAGGTGTCACCTCACACAGGTCAGAATGGCCATCATCAATAAATCTACAAACAATAAATGCTGGAGATGGTGTAGAGAAAAGGGAACCCTCTTGCACTGTTAGTGGGAATGTAAATTGATACAGCCACTGTGGAGAACAGTATGGAAGTTCCTTTTAAAAACTAAAAATAGAACTAGCATATGACCCAGTATGAGCATATACCCTGAGAAAACCATAATTCAAAAGACACATGTACCCCAATGTTCATTGCAGCAATATTTACAATAGCCAGGACATGGAAGCAACCTAAATGTTCAACAACAAATGAATGGATAGAGAAGATGAGGTACATATATACAATGGAATATTACTCAGCCATAAAAAGGAATGAAATTCGGTCATTTGTAGAGATGTGGGTGGACTTAGAGTCTGTCATACAGAGTGAAGTAAGTCAGGAAGAGAAAAACATATATCGTCTATTAATGCATATATGTGGAATCTAGAAAAATGGTACAGAAGAACCTATTTCCATGTCAGGAACAGAATTGCAGACATAGAGAATGGACATGTGGACACAGAGGGGGAAGGGGATGGTGGGATGAATTGGGAGATTAGGACTGACATATATACACTACCATATGTAAAATAGATAGCTAGTGGAAGCCTGCTGCATAGCACAGGAAGCTCAGCTCGGTACTCTGTGATGATCTAGATGAGTGGGATGGTGGGGTGGGAGGGAGGTCCAAAAGGGAGGGGATATATATATATATATATATATATATATATATATATATATATAGTTGATTCACTTCTTTGTACAGCAGAGACTAACAACTTTGTAAAGCAATTATACACTAATAAAAAATTGGGTAAGAGTACAAAAACAGTTATAAGCTGTGTAAGATCAGGAAAGTAATAAATTTGCTCCCAATAGATTTTAGATCATAGCTAAAGATGGCACAAATAGGAAACCAAAGACCCAATGCTAAAGTTCATACACAATTATCTAATTAAAGTCAAGTTATGTATTGACTGGTCGGAATAAGTTATGGCCTAAAGCTGCTATTTAGGAAAGTGAGTAATGTTGACTTGCCTATATACTGCTGCTGAGCGTGCACACTGGAAGAATCTTTGACCAAGTAACTACACTTTTGGGAATCTATCTTACAGAACTACTTGTATAAGAGTGCAAAGAGAATACAAACAAGGATATTTACTTCAGTGTTGTTTGTCCCAGTGGAAATTTGGAAACAACCTGAAAACCCAAAACAACTGAAAGGGATTTGGTTAAAAATTTTAAGGTAAATGGGACACTATGCATCCTTTGTAATAAAATGATATAGAACAGTGTGCACTTGTGTTGATCATATAGTATACACATTGTTGGAAAAAAACATACTCATATATATCAATGTCATTACATGTGTAAAAATGTTTGGAAGGATACATTCCAAGAAGTTAGCAGTGGAGATCAGTATCAGGGGAAAGAGGAGTGAGAGCCTTTGACATTTTCTCTTATACACCTATATAATTCTGTGTTGCTAAATTTAAAAAAAAAAAAAGTTAAATATTACTTTCATAAATAAAATAAGAAATATCTATACTTTATTTTAATAAAGAATTTATTAAATTATTTTGAATTCTAGGTCCATAATTTAGTAAACTGATAAACTAAATAAAAGCAACAGAATGAAAGTTTTAGATACTTGGACCTGTTAATTGGCTTCTACTAAAAAGCACAAGAAATCCATTTTCCATGTCAGTCAAACACTGCCCCTCCCACATAAAAGGGAGTATTTTTGCTGGGTGTGAGTCTACATATTTCATTTGCTAGCACTGAAAACTTTGGTTTTAATTAGAATCCATTTTGATTAGAATATGTTTACTTTATATTCACAAAATAATGAAAAATGAAACTTCACTCTGGAAATTAAAATGCATATTCTTGAACTGAGAGGGAGTATTATAACACAGAATTAGGAGTACAATCACTGGGTTTAAAGATATAGAGCAATTCTGTTGAATTAAAACCCCTTAACTAGTTCCCTAACTAAAATTATGCAGGAAAATCAGAGTCAAATCTTTCAAAATAAATATAGAATAGGTCTTTAATCTAGTTCTATTATTAGAGAAGACAAATTTTTGAGAACGAAGAATAAATCTCAAAAGTATTTGCCTTTTCATATTTCTAGCCTATTACTTTTGTTTCCACCCACAAAAACGAAGAAAGTAAATGAAGAGGCCACTAAATCAGGAATTTGTTAAGACATCTCTCCCCACTGAATCATTTGTTTTGCAAGTGACATTCCAGAATGGTTTAGGCAAGGTATGGGACAAAGTTGTTTTTACATATCAAGGGATCAGCTTTGCAAAAAAGTAACCAAAGCCTCTGCACAATATATTTGAAGTGAATAATGAAGTTGTATTAAACAACACTTTAAAAATATATTCAAGCTGGTGGAATATATTCTTGTGAAACTTATTGTACTAATTATAATTCTCCTGCTATGAACAAATTAATAAGGGCCAACTCTTTCTTCAGTGAAATACATGCTTGAACAAAACTCATGGATAAAGATAAATTCCTTGAGATCTCAACTATCTTTTACTTTATTCCAGAACTCCTAATCTATGGCATTAATTTCAGGGTTTGTAGAAATATGTAAGACAGTGTTCTTTCTTATTCTAAAGCAAGTAATGGGTTTGATTGGCTTTAAATAAACTTACCACATAGTTCTTCTGTGTCAAGGTTGCTGAAAAGATGAAAAAAAGTATTATTATTTTGGTAATATTTAAGTTTTTAAATAGGTAAATACAGTTATTCCCCAATCTGTATTGTTATATTAATAGATGATATGTAGTTATGGTATTTTCTCTTATAGATTCTACACTGTTGAAGTAGTCAACCAAATATTAGCAATGATTGTCAGATTTTGTCTTTAAACAGATTAAAAGAAATAATTGTTATTTTTCTGGAAAAATGTATTTTATTTATTTATTTATTTTCCTAGATTTTCATTGAGATATAACTGACATATAGCACTGTATAAATTTAAGGTATACAGAATAATGATTTCACTTATATACATCAGGACATGATTATCATAATATGTTTGGTGAACATCCATCATCTCATACAGATACAAAATTAAAGAAACTAAATTTTTTTCCTTGTGATGAGAACTCAGAATTTACTCTCTTAAAAACTTTCATATATAATATACACAGTGTTAATTATATTTACCATGTAGTACATTATATCCCTAGTACTTATATACCTTGTAACTGAAAGTTTGTACTTTTTGACTGACTTCCTCCAATTCCCCCTTCCCCAACACCCTGTCTCTGTAACCACAAAACTGATCTCTCTTTCTATGAGTTTGTTCGTTTTGGGAGTATAATTGACCTACAACACTGTTAGTTCCTGTTACACAACATAGTGATTCAGTATTTCTATACATTTAGAATAATCACCACTATAAGTCCAGTTAAGTTCTGTCACCATACAAAGATATTATATAAGTAATGATTATATACCCCACGCTATACATTTCATACACGACTCATTAATTTTGCAACCGTAAGTTTATACCTCCTAATCTCCCCCACCTATTTCTTTCCTCCCCCCACTCCCTCCCCCTGGCAACCACCAGTTTGTTCTCTGCATCTGTTTCTGTTTCTGTTTTATTATGTTTGTTAGTTTGTTTTGTTTCTTACATTCCACATATAAGTGAAACCATACAATATTTGTCTTTCTCTGTCTGCTTCCTTCACTTAGGATAATACTCTCTAGGTCCATTCATGTTGTCTCAAGTGGCAAGACTTTATTCCTTTTTAATGGCTAATATTCATGTATATTTATGTATATATGTCACATCCTTTATCAATTCATCTATCAATAGACAGGTTTCTTCCATATCTTAACTATTGTAAATAATGCTGCAATGAACATAGGGCTGCATATATATTTTCTTTTTTCCAAAAATAATAACCAGCATTTATTGACTGTTTACTATGTTCCAGGTACTGCTATAAACATTTTATGTAAAAAATTATGTAACTTTTTATTATGGGAAATTTTAAACTTAAGAAATAAAGAAAAGATCATTATGGATAAACAACAAGGTCCTCCTGTATAGTACAGGAAACTATATTCAATATCCTGTGATAAACCATAATGGAAAAGAATCTGAAAAAGAATATATATATATATATCTATAACTGAGTCACTTTGCTGTACAGCAGAAATTAACACAGCATTGTAAATCAACCATACATCAATAATTATTTTTAAAAAATTAAAGATCATTAAAAAAACTTTATGTATGTATTGCCCACTTTAAATCATTATCATCAACATTTTAACATTTTGCCATATATGTTTTATTAACCACCATCATTCTCCTCCCTCAATTTTTTTTCTGGAGTATTTAAAGAAAATGACAGATGTCCTATAATTCACTCATAAATATCTTAAATACATTCTTAACTTTTAAAATATATTAGCTATTTTAGTCGTAAAAAGCAGATACTACTATTACTCCCATTTTACATATGTGTAAACTGAGGCAAATGTTATTGAGTGATTCAAACCCTGGAGTCTAATGGCCAGCCTCCAAGGTGGCCCCTGACCCCTGCCTCCTGGTATTCATATTTTGTGTAAGTGCCCTCACATGTTACACCAGGGTGGGTCTGAGAGACCATGCATATATCTTTTCTAATTGGTGTTTTTGTTTTCTTCAGGAGTGGAATTAGTTCTATTTTTAATTTTTTGAGGAACCTTCATACTGTATTCTACAGTGGCTACACCAGTTTACATTTCCACAAACAGTGCATGAAGGTTCCGTTTTCTCCACATCCTTGCCAATACATGTTATTTATTGTATTTTTGATAATAACCATTTTGACAGGGGTGAGGTAATATCTCATTGTGGTTATGCTTTGCATTACCCTGATGATTTGATGTTGAATATTTTTCAAGTACATGTTGGTGATCTGTATGTCTTCTTTGGAAAAGTGTCTATTCAGATACTCTGCCCATTATTAATTGGGTTGTTTGCTCTTTTGATGTTGAGTTGTATGAATTCTTTGTTATTTTGGGTATTAAGCCCTTATCAGACATATCATTTGCAAATATCTTTTCCTATTCAGTACAATGCTTTTTAATTTTGTTGATAGTTTCCTTCACAGGACAAAAGCTTTTCAGTTTCATTTGTTTATTTTTGCTTTTATTTCCCATGCCTGAGGAGAAAGATTGATAAAACTTACTAAGGTTGATGTCAAAGAGCCTACTGCCTGTGTTTTCTTCTAGGAGCTTTGTGGCTTCAGGTCACACATTTAACTATTTAATCCATTCGAATTTATTTTTGTGCACAGAGTGAGAGAGTGTCCAGTTTGATTATTTTGCATGTAGCTGTCCAGTTTTCTGACCACCATTTATAGAAGAGGCTGTCTATTGCCCATTGTATATTATTGCCTACTTTATCATAGATTATTTGACCAAATAAGTGTAGTTTCACTTCTGGGCTCTCTATTCTGTTCCATTGATCTATTTGTCTGTTTTTGTGCCAGTACCATATTGTTTTGATTACTGTAGCTTTGCAGTATAGTTTCAAATCAGGGCGTGTGATACCTCCAGCTTTGTTCTTTCTCAAGATTATTTTGGCTGTGCAGTGTCTTTTGCGTTTCCTTGCCATTTTAGAATTATTTGTTCTAGGTCAGTGAAAAATGCCATTGGTATTTTGATAGAGGTTGCATTGAATTTGTAGATTGCCCTGATTTGTATGATAATTTTAACAATATTAATTCTTCCAATCCAGAAACATGGTATATCTTTCCAGCTGTTTGTGTCATCAGCAATTTATTTCATCAGTGTCTTATAGTTTTCCAAGTACAGGTCTTTTACCTCTTAGTTCAATTTATTTCAAGGTTTTTTATTCTTTTTGATATGATTTTGAATGGGATTATTTTCTTAAGTTCTCTTTCTGATAGTTCATTGTTAGTGTATATAAATGCAACAGGTTTCTATGTATTAATTTTGTATCCTGCAACTTTACCAAATTCATCGATTAGTTCTAGTAGTTTTGGGGTAGTGTATTTAGGATTTTCTATGTACAGTATCATGTCATTTGCAAACAGTGACTTTTTACTTCTTCCATTTCAATTTTGATCTTTTTAAATTTCTTTCTCTTGTGTGATTGCTGTGGCTAGGTTTTCCAATATTATGTTGAATAAAAGTGGCAAGATTGGACATCCTTGTCTTGTTCTTGATCTTGTTCTTAGAGATTTTCACCATTGAGTATGATGTTACTTGTGGGCTTGTCATATATGGCCCTTTATTATGTTGTGGTATGTGTGTTCCATAACCACTCTGTTGAGAGTTTTATCATAAATGAATATGGAATTTTGTCAAAAGGTTTTTATGTACCTATTTAGATGATCATATGATTTTTATTCTTCAACCTGTTAATATGTTTTATCACATGGATTGATAATATCCATCCCTGGGATAAATCTCACTTGATCATGGTGCATGAACTTTTAGATGTATTGTTGAATTTGGTTTGCTAAACTTTCATTGAGGATTTTTACATTTATGGTCTTCAGTGATATTGGCCTGTAATTTTATTTTTTTGTGGTATCTTTTTGGGTTTTGGCATCAGGGTGATGCTGGTCCTATAGAATAAGTTTGGAAATGTTTCTCCCTCTGCAATTGTTTGGAATTGTTTGCAATAGATAGGTGTTAACTCTTCTCTAAATGTTTGGTATAATTCATCTGTGAGGCCTGAACTTTTGTTTGTCAGTATTTTTTATTACTGATTCAATTTCATTAAGAGTAGTTGGTCTGCTCATATTGTCTATTTCTTCCTCGTTCACTCTTGAGAGATTGTATGTTTCTAGACATAAGCTTTCTTCAAAATTGTCCACTTTATTGGCAATTGTTCATAGTAATTAATATCTTATGATCCTTTGTATATCTGTGATGTTGGCTGTAACTTCTCTTCTTTCATTTCTGTTTTATTGATTTAGACCCTCTCTCTCTTTTTCTTGATGAGACTGTTAAAGGTTTATCAATTTTGTTTTCCTTTTCAAAGAACAGCTCTTAGTTTCATTTATCTTTTTTTTTTAGTCTATTTAATTTCTTTCTGATCTGATATTTATGATTTGTTTCCTTCTACTAACTTTGGGTTTCTTTTATTCTTCTTTTTCTAGTTCCTTTAGGTGTCAGATTATGTTGCTTATTTAAGATTTTTCTTGTTCCCTGAGGCAGGCTTGTATCACTGTAAACTTCCCTCTTAGAACTCCTTTTGTTGCATCTCATAGATTTTGGATTATTACATTTTCATAGTCATTTGTCTCCAGGTATTTTTAAATTTCTTCTTTGATTTCTTCAGTGAACCTTTGGTTCTTTAGTGGCATTTTGTTTAGCTTCCACGTGTTTGTGTTTTTTGCAGTTTTTCTCTTTTAGTTGATTTCTAGTCTCAGAGTGCTGTGGTCAGAAAATATGCTTGACATGATCTCAATTTTCTTAAATGTACTGAGACTTGTTTTGTGACAGAGCATGTGATCTATCCTGGAGAATGTTCCATGTGCACTTGAAAAGAAAGTGTGTTTTGCTGTTTGGGGATGAAATGGACATTTGTCCTAAAGTGTCATTTAAGGCCAATGTTTCCTTATTGATTTTCTGTCTGAATGATCTGTCCATTGATGTAAGTAGGGTGTCAAAGGCTCTTACTAACATTTTGTTAGTGTC